TGGGGATTCCCAGCCTTGAATAGTTCCCCGCCAAATAACATCCAAGGTTCCACTGCACAGTGAGAAATTCCCGATAGGCCTGGTAGCCCTCACACCCTGCCTTGAGAGACAAGCTGTATGGTTACCTATGGCCATGGAGAATGCAGGAGGGATTTTGGCATCTATCTCTGATATCCGGGGAAACAATAGGGAGAGTGATTTTCAGGCTTCATTTTCCCAGGCTGTTTTCTCCTGGTACAGGGCAACCATACATTGCATCCCTTGGGAATCCTTGGTCCACCCCGGAGGAAGGGGTACTACCTGAGCTACATGCCATCCCAATGCACAAGCATTGTCGGAGCTCAGCGGGAGACAAACACACGACCACAGAATTGATCAGAAAGTCTCAACTTTAATCAGAAGGTTGCGTGCATTTATGTTGGCGCTAATGAAGCTCATACACATTGCAAAGCCCGAGCTCCTGATAGGCGCTTCAGCTACTTGTCGCCCCAGCCCTTCTTTGTACTTTTTGTGATTAGACCATGCCATTCATCTTTCTTATTTCTATATTCTCCTACCTTCCTACACATCCTGTTAGTTTGCTCAAGGACTCTCTCCTCGTTAGCCTTGTTTACATCCTGTTACATTGCTCAAGGACTCTCGTCTCATTAGCCGAATACTGTCTGTGTGGCCTTTCTCAGCCAGCCAGGTCTCAATCACGCTCTCCACACCCACATTGTTCAGAACATTGAAAATCTACTGCAGCTTTGTGAGGAAGAATTTGTTAGGTAATTCAGTAATTATGTTTCTAAAACATGCCGCTAACATATACAGTATTTTACTTCTTAGATCAACAAGGATAAGTTACAGAATACAAATGCATTATGTTCTACTTCTTCAAACCAATTGCTACCTTTTAATATCAAATGCAGAACCAACATTCCCTTCCCTTCCTTTCCCTTCTCCCCTTTTTTTCCCTTCTTCCCTTTTTTTCCCCTTTTTCCCTTTCCCCCCCCCCCCCCCCCCCCCCCCCCCCCCCCCC